GTGTGTGTGTGTGTGTGTGTGATGTAGGCAGGGCCAACTTCACTTGCAATATCTGTCCGCCTTCTTTTTGACTCTTTCATCTAGCGCCGCCTCCCGAGACCCCTCTGGCAGCTGGTACTTGAATCTGGCGGCTTCCGCTGGGAACAGCTCCTCGTACTTTTTACTCTTCTTGCCATCTGGTGCATGGCCTGTGCCGATGTCGTAAGGTGCATCCTCTTCCAGTTGAACCCCACCATTTCCTCCCTCCACTTCTCCTCCCTCTTCTGCTTTGCTTGCACCTTCTCCCTTCTTCTTTCTCTTCTTCTTCTTCTTCAACTGCTTACCATCCCCTACATCCTCACCTCCTTTCAGTTTCAGTTTGCTCATATTTACTCTGTCATAAGGCGCAGACATTCTTCAGTGCCGATCCCTCTTCCTGTGATAGCTTACCTCTAGTCACACAACAATGGTCTTCTCTCTGCTCCTCTTGACCTTTTGACCTCTCTTCCTCCTGCTCCTCGTCTTCAATGCACGCCAACTATTACCTTCCTTTCTACTTCTTTATCCTGTTGTAGTACAAACCAATCAACCAACTAATCAATCAATCAACCAATCAACCAACCAACCAATCAATCAATCAATCAACCAACCAATCAATCAATCAATCAATCAACCAATCAATCAACCAGTCAATCAATCAATCAAAGCCATATATACATATACATATACATATGTATACATTGCTTACATTTCCCCTCCATTTTTCCATCTCCCTCCTCCTACTCCTCCTCCATGGCTTTTCATCCTCCGTTGCAAGTTTTCGGAGTTTCCTTGGGGTTGGTCATGCTTTGGCCCACCCTAGCCCATCGAGGGCTCCACCTCCTGCAATGAAGATCACACGATCTATTACACCACACCGATATCTTCTCTCCCTACTGTCGCCCCATTTCATCATTGCAGGTCACTAATTCGACTCCACCACTCCGTTTCTCTTCTTCCTCATTAACCTGCTGTACCCTACAAGACCATCGAGAGAAGGGAGGATGAGAGAAGGACAGCAAAAAGAGGAGGACATTGCCAACGGAGGGAACAAGGAGGAAAGAGGAGCAGGAGCAAGAGGAGGAGGAGGAAGGGGAGGAGGAGGAGGAGGAGGAGCAGAGGATGGGAAAACCGCCGAAGGCACAAGTGGCCGGGGACGAAGATATGGCAGGGAGAAGGATGGTGCGCTGAGAGGAGGAAGAGAGGGGGAAGGAGGGATTCGGGGGGGGAGGAGGAGAGGAGGGGAGGAGGGGAGGAGGGGAGGAGGAGCATCCTGAAGCCTGACTGTCTCTTAAAAAAGAACGGTGAGAAAGATAAAAAGAAAGGGTGGCAACGGAGAGGTCAAGGAGATTCAACAGGTAGACCAGGTGAAAAAGGTGAATGGATACCTTTCTCGGCCTTTTGGCTAAGTAAGATCAAGTGCGCTGTATCTGTTCTGATCAGTCTAATATCTGGGGGAAAAAAAAAAAAAGGTGAATGGAATGTCCAAAGGTCGAGGAGGAGGAGGACAAGCAGTTGAAGAGACTCCTATTGCTACTTCTCTTTTTTTTTTTTTTTTTTTTTTTTTCACCACCAAACACACTCGCCCCATCTATTCTGGGGGCCACCAGTTCGGTTGCTCTTTGTCGGCCAGCTAAATATCCAGAGAGACAAACTCAAACGTCAGCAAAAAGATCAGACGAGAATCGACTGAAAAGGACCGAAGGACGGAAAAAGATCAGGCCATGAAGTATAGGTAGGGTCCTTCCTATCCGGCCTTACCAAAGTCACCTGCCCACAGAGGGGCTATAGCCAGCGGGGCTATAGCCAGTGGGGGGGGCTATAGCCCGTGGGGCTATAGCCTGGGGGGCTATACATCTCGCGACACTGAGACAGAGACCAACTGTGACAAAAAAAACAGTACATACTGGTGGGAACAAGGCACCGACAACGGCTTTTTCTTTTTTGCTATGCGAGGCCCATCCCTGAAGCCTTAACACTTGAAGAAGCACGAACAGATCCCGACACAAAATCCATTACTATTTTTTACATTTCCCGCCCCGTTGTTTTCACCTCTCCTCCCCCATTTCCACCTCTCCTCCCGCATTTTCCTCACCTCCTCCTCCGACATGTCTTCTCTCCTCCCTCATTTTCCCCACCTCCTCCTACATGTCTTCTCTCGTCCCTCATTTTCACAACCTCATCCTCTTTCTCCCTCATTTTCACCTCCTCCTCCTACATGTCTTCTCTCCTCCCTCATTTTCACCTCCTCCTCCCTCATTTTCACCACCTCCTCCTACATGTCTTCTCTCCTCCCTCATTTTCCCCACCTCCTCCTCCTACATGTCTTCTCTCCTCCCTCATTTTCACAACCTCCTCTTTCTNTTTCACAACCTCCTCTTTCTCCCTCATTTTCACCTCCTCCTCCCTCATTTTCACGACCTCCTCCTCCTACATGTCTTCTCTCCTCCCTCATTTTCACCTCCTCCTCCTCCTCCTCCACCCTCATTTCACCACCTCCTCCTCCTACATGTCTTCTCTCCTCCCTCATTTTCACCTCCTCCTCCTCCTCCTCCCTCACTTTCACGACCTCCTCCTCCTACATGTCTTCTCTCCTTCCTCGTTTTCCCCACCTCCTCCTACATGTCTTCTCTCCTCCCTCGACTTCACCTCCTCCTCCTCCTCCTCCTCCTACTTGTCTTCTCTCCTCCCTCATTTTCACCACCTCCTCCTCCGTGTCTTCTCTCCTCCGTCATTTTCACCACCTCCTCCTCCTCCATGTCTTCTCGGTACCGACAATGGCGGCGCGAAACCCAAGCCCAAAACCGTACCAGCAGCTTTACAAGCAGATCCCATCAGGAAACGAACATCCATTTACATTTCCCTCCCCCTTTTCCACCTCACCTCCTCCTCTGCGTTCCCCTCCATGTCTCCCCATCCTTCCCGACTTGTCTCAGCTCGCCCTCTCCTCATCTAATGTACCTGCCATCCCCATCTCTGCCCAATCTCGCGCTTCGTCGTCATTCTGACGTCGCATGCATCCGCATCAACCCAGCCACGATGGAACAGAGGACAAGGACGTAGAGCGAGGAGAAGGGGAGAAAAGGGTAGTGGGACATAAGGAAAAAGGGGGGGAAGTCAAGAGGAGGACGACGAGAAGGAAAAGGAGCAGGAGAAGGAGGAGGGGGAGGAGGGGGAGGAGGGGGAGGAGGAGGAGGAGACAAGGAGAGCTTATCCACTTCTTGGACGAAGGGGAGGAGACCCCGGCAGAGAAGGGCAGTTACTGGTGAAGGGGGATGGTAAGAAGAACGGGATTTATTGCTCAACTAGGAGGAGGAGGAAGAGGAGGAGGAGGAGAGCGTGATTGCTCGACGAGGAGGAGGAGGAGGAGGAGGAGAAGGAGGTGAAAAATAGTGGCTGCTGAAGGAGGAGGAGGAGAGAGAGTGATTGCTCGACGAGGAGGAGGAGGAGGAGGGAAAGAATGTGATTTGCTCAAGAAGGACGAGGAGCAGACGAGGCTAGAAACAGTCGTCAGAAGCTGTAACAGGGAACTGGAGGGACGTTTTATTCTTTTTTTTATTGCTCTTCTTTTCTTTTCTTTTGCAAGAAAAAGAGAAAAAGGAGAGAACGCTGAGGAACGGAAGGTGAAAAGAACAAGACGAAAAGGGGGAAAAAAAGGAACAAGACAATTAATCGAGAAGACTGACCTAGGAGAAGAGAAGTCTCTGTACTAGAAAATCGGAGATTGGTAAGTATACTAATTAGTACAGAGCTAGGCTACCAGAGTGGCCCGGGGCAAGTTGCCCGGCCGGGCAAAAACGGGGGAAACAAAAAAAGGCAAAGAATTTCGATGTGACCCTGAGCAAAAGTTGTTCAGTTTATTTTTGTGCATCGCATAGTTTCTTTTTAGGATTTTTGGGATTTCTTTTTTTTTTTGCTGGGCCCTTCGCTGGTCCTCGCACGGCCGGGCCGCACGGTCAAACAGGGTGACCCAGGCGGCCCGGCTGGTAGCCCAGGTACAGGGGAAAGAGAGGAGGCGAAGCGGATGACGATACAAGGCAGAGACCCAGAGATGTTGGAGACGCAGAGATGAAGAGAAGAGCGGGTCAGGGAGGTGTCAAGCCATCTGCATCAGATGGCCGCACACGTGGCATGCCCTGGACGACCAACGGAATGCGCGCGGCACCGAGGAGGAAGAGAAGAGGAGAAGGGATCTAGTGGTCACATGTCAATCGCACATGTCACATGGTACCAACACTATGTCATTCGAGGGTACCAACACACCGTCGAGTCACATGTCAATCGCTCCTGCTGCCGGGGACCCTTCCCTGGATCACGACTCCGAATCCAATACCCACTTCTTCTGTCCTAACCCGTCCCGGCGACCTCTCCTATCCTTTTCCCCATCTTCCAACTCCGCCCTGCGTCCCCATGCCTCTCTCTCTCTCTCTCTCTCTCTCTCTCTCTCTCTCTCTCTCTCTCTCTCTCTCTCTCTCTTTCTCTCTCTCACTCACACACACACACACATACACACACACAAACACACACAAACACTCACATAGACACACAGCGAGATGTTTTAGCTGCTAGGCTAAATGCAGGGGTATGATTGGATCGAGTTTCCAGCTCAATCTTCGTTCCTCTCCCCTCACCGCCCCCCCCCCCCCCCCNGTGTGTGTGTGTGTGTGTTTTATTATCTTCTCTTTCTCTCCCCCATGATTGCCTGCCTTGCCTGCTTTTCTTGTCTTCTTTTTTTCTCTGTGCACATCTAGCCACATGGGTTGCGGGTTTAAAAAAAGAAAAAACTGGGGCCCATTGATTCGACCTCTGGATCGCTTCTGTCTTTCCCTGGCCTCCCCCTCGTCCTGATTCCCAGACGGACAGGAATAGAGAGAGAGCGAGAGAGAGAGGCCATCTGCTCGGATTCCCTTCCAAGCGCCTGCACCCCCATCCCGACCCATTCCTTGTGACCACGCTACTATTACCTCCCCCCCCTCCTCTCTCACTCCGCCCACATCCCCGTCTTCTCGCATTCCCTTCTCCCCCTTCCTTCCCCACGCCTCCATTCCCATCTCCCCCTCTCACCCCGCCAACGTTCCCGTCTCCTCAAATTCCCTCCTCCCCCTTCCTTCTCCCCTGCCCCCTCTCCTAGTCGCCTTCAACTCCCCCCTGAAAGGCTCCTATCCCCCTCCGCGCCCTCCCCCCCTCCTCCCGTGGCGGCTGCATTAGCCCTATCACGTTCCGCTTGGCCCTCCTCCCTGTCTCTTCATCCCCGATCCCATCCACTATCCCATTCTTCCCGGCTGGTCTCCTTCCTTCCTTGGTGATATCGTCTTCCCTCCTCTCATCCCGCTGCTCCCTCGATGGATCCCGACCCACGTCACCCATCCCTTTCGCCCGACGCTGTTCCTCCCACCACACCCGATGGTCGTCTGAGAGACGGACATACATAGAGAGGGAGAGAAAGAGAGAGAGAGAGAGAGAGAGAGAGAGGCGACGGGATTCTTCCCCTTCCACTCCGCCTCCTCCGCTAACCCCGTTGCTCCCAGTCGCCCCCTTCCCCTCACCCTTCATCCCCATCCCGCTGCCACCTCAATTGATCCCGACCCACCTCCCGCATCCCTTTCGCCCGATGCTGTTCCTCCCACCCCACCCGATGGTTGTCTGAGAGACGGACAGACATAGAGAGTGAAGAAAGAGAGAGGCGACGGGATCCCGACCCTCGTCTCCCATCCCTTCTCGCCCGAGGCTGTTCCTCCCACCACCCCCGACGACCGCCTGAGAGACTGACAAACATAGAGAGACAGAAAGAGAGAGAGAGAGAGAGAGGCGACGGGATCCCAGCGCCCCCTTCCCCTCACCCTTCATCCCCACCCCGCTGCTACCTCAATGGATCATGATCCTCCTCCCGCATCCCTTTCGCCCGATGCTGTTCCTCCCACCCCACCCGATGGTTCTCTGAGAGACGGACAAACGTAGATAGTGAAGAAAGAGCGAGAGAGAGGCAACGGGTTCTTCATTCCGCATCCTCCCCAAACCCCGTTGCTCCCAGCCGCCCCATTCCCCTCACCCTTCATCCCTACCCCGCTGCTACGTCAATGGATCCCCACCTTTACCCTCCCTTTTGCCCGCCGCTTTTCCTCCCACCCCACCCGATGACCATCTGTGCGTGAGAGAGAGAGAGACACAAAGAGGAAAGGTGGAGAGAGAGAGAGAGAGAGAATGGCCGCTTGAGTGGTGGTCATGTGAGAAGTACTTGTCCCCTCCTCCTCCTTTTTTCCCCCTTTCTTCCCCACCTCCCGATTTATCTTGACATCCGTGCTTTTCCATTTGCTCTCTGTTATATTATCTTCCAAAAAGTCGAAAACCAGTCTTCTATACGAACCTAGTTGCGCTACTCGTCATGCGCCAACATTTCGAATGCACATGCACAGGAGACCTGTCCAGATGCATTCAAAATGATGGCGGATGGCGAGTAGGGCAACTACTAGTAGGCCCTAAGAATGTTTTCGATGCAAGAACGCAACACACTGTATACACAGACTCTACTCAAGCGAAAAGTTGGGAGGCAAAAATGCCTATGACTCTTTATCTTTACCTTAACTTGTTTGTCTATATAGAAGAGGCAGGCATACTATTACACGAATGAGTAACGTTTTTTATGCTTTTTTTTTCTTTTGTGTGCGGGCATCGCCGCCACCGCAAGCACTGCGGGCATTAAGGTAGTCCTCATTACTCTCCCTCCATAGCCTGCAACATAACCCATAACCACCCCCCTCGATCCGCAACCTACCCACCCATCAATGAATATAAGCAAGGATGCGACAAGAGTGTACGAAGCGCGGGATGGCGGGGAGAGAATGCGGAAGAAGAAATGAGCTGGAAGACGACGAGGGAGAAGAAGAACAAGAGCACGAGGAAACAAGGGGAACCAGGAGTACCATGACAAGACGGAGGACGCGGAGGAGGAGGAGGAGGAGGAGGAGAAGGAGGAGAAGAAGGAGAGGAGGAGAAGGAGGAGAAGGCAAGAGGAGCAAGACCACGAGGAAAACAGGGAGAGCCAGTAGTACCACGACAAGGCGGAGGTGGCGGAGGAGGAGGAGGAGGGGGAGGACGAGGAGGAGGAGGAGGAGGAGAAGGAGATGGAGATGGAGGAGGAGGAGGAGAGGAGGAGAGAAGGAAAGGAGACAGGAGGTGGTAAGGGAACTCACCTGTGGGTTGACTCGACACTTACTGGAGCATACGAGAGAGGAGACGGCAATAGGAGCACACAATGCACGTGCGAACCTGCCACTGGCTGCACTGGGAAGACGAACCAGGACTGCGACGTGGAACTGGACCGCGCCAAAACACTCGGACGTCGGCGGCACAAACAGCGCACACGCCCGTGCGAAAACTGGACGAACAAACTGGCCTAGCTCAGCTGGCATACTCATGAACTGGTTGAAATACTGTAGTGAACTGGAACTACCGGTACTTGAATGAAAAAAGAATTGCCTGGGCCCGGTCCGTTCCAGAGACGATATCTCAACGCCGGCTTTATGGCATGCAGCGCCGGCTTTTGGGGCCTAAGATTTCAGAACAGCAGCCTCGAACTGGCAATTTTTGTGCCTACAGTCTTCCCCCGAACAAAAAGCAAGTATGTACTTCCCCTGAGAAGTAGCCCCTGGAAAACTCACGTATGTACTTCCCCTGAGAAGTAGCCCTTGGAAAAAGAGCGTATGTACTTCCCCTGAGAAGTAGCCCTGGAAATCCAAATAGTACGCCCGTTAAAATAGTATGAATGTATGTTCTATTCAAATAGTATGCACATTTGTTTGACCAGATGGGTGTTCTATTCAAATAGAACACATGCTTGCCTGCTTGTAGTGTCGTGCTTATTTCCAAGTGCACGCCCTGCAGTATTCGGCCCTCTCTCTCTCTCTCTCTCTCTCTCTCTCTCTCTCTCTCTCTCTCTCTCTCTCTCTCTCTCTCTCTCTCTCTCTCTCTCTCTCTNCTCTCTCTCTCTCTCTCTCTCTCTCTCTCTCTCTCTCTCTCTCTCTCTCTCTCTCTCTGTGTGTGTGTGTGTGTGTGTGTGTGTGTGTGTCTTACTTGACGGTCCTGTTTGTGTAAAAACTAAAGCTCTCTCTCTCTCTCTCTCTCTCTCTCTCTCTCTCTCTCTCTCTCTCTCTCTCTCTCTCTCGTGGTGTCCTAAAAAGTCCACTTTGCGTTGGGTAAAGCGGCTCTTACTGAATTTGGCATAAAAGTCATGCTTGCATAAGCGTTGTGGGACATCGCAAAGGTGTCTGAGGTGGTCTTCTAAGGTACGACATTAGACCAAAATGTCCTCTAAGTACACGAAAACATACTCTTCGAGGATCGCCCTGAAGATATTGTTCATCGTCGTCTGGAAGGTGGTGGGTGCGTTGGTGAAGCCAAAGGGCATCACTGTGAACTCGTAGTGGCTAAAGCACAATCTAAAGGCGGTATTCAACTGGTCCTCTATGGCAACGCGGATTTTGTAGTAACCGCTACGAAGATCAATATTCGTAAAGAAGTGGTTGTTTGTCAGACGGTAAAAAAACTCATCCGCACGAGGCATGGAATAACAGTTTTTAACCGTGTAACAATTAAGGTCGTAGTAATCAATGTAAAGGCAAAAAGTTTTATCCACTCTGCGAACAAAGAAAACGGGTGCACCCAAGGGGTAGTTGTTGATTTAATGAATCCTAGTCGAAGGAGCTTCTCAAGTTGACATTTGAGTTTCGTCGCCTCTGGAATCGAGAGTCGGTAGGGTGTCTAATGGTGGATACGATAGTCATGCATGAGCTGGATAGAATGCTCAGCACCTCGTATCGGAGGGATCCTCCTGTATGAAAAATAAGGGGGAAAAACGTTGTCGTACTCTTGAATCAGGTCACGAACGACGGACTCTAAGTCGGTCGTAAACCGCACGAGTTCCTCAGCATCTGCGTCAGCATGATACGTATATGTGGACTCGTAAGTGGATGTCAGAGGAACCTGAGATGTTGAAGGGGTATCCGCAAGCTGAGTGGTGGATGTAGAGATAAGAGTCGCGAAGATGGAGGAAAGGTTGGGGGAATCGGGCTCCAAAGAGATGAGCTCAACCTCTGGACAGAGTGAAATCATAGCGAAAAGAGATCAATGACATTCACCGAGTAGAAAGTGACGTCCTCCTTACACAGAACCTTAGCGAACTGGCGGGAGGTGGTGACGGTAAGGTCCAGGTGGGACCCGGAAGGACGAGGGTTTGGGGAGGTAGGTCGAAAGGGGTGTCACCTGTGATACAAATAAAAGAGACTTGATATATCTGACCACACTTCGTTTTGCGAATGAGTGTCTCGGTCACCCATTCGGCCTCTGTATCACGAAACTTGCTAAACCAAGGAGTATCAAAGATAAAACCGTACTCTGTCTCCAACACGTTGAAGTATGCAGAGCGGATTGGTAACACCGAGGAACCTAAGTATTATCCGGTGGCTGGTGGGTGAGGAAAAAGTGAAGGTTGGGGACCGTCTGATCGAAAAAACATTGTGTTTTGTTATCTCCACGGGTAACAGAGACAGGACAACGAGACTTAGAGGTAGTTAGACAAACTTCCTTAACCACGAGAGGGTAGACACAAGTGGTCAACAACTTGCCGAATCCTAACCGATAATAATTGTGAAGTGGGAAAGATTCAGTGATTTTGAAGTTTTATAATATCGAATTTTAATGGTTTAAAATGCGTTGAAAATTTTGAATGTTCGAAACTTGTTAAACCAAGGAGTATCAAGGATAAAGTCGTACTCTGTCTCCAACACGTCGAAGTATGCAGAGAGGATTGGTAACACGGAGGAACCTGGGTATTATCCGGTGGCTGGTGGGTGAGGAAAAAGTGAAGGTTGGGGACCGTCTGATCGAAAAAGCGTTGCATTTTGTTATCTCTAAGGGTAACGGAGACAGGATAACGAGACTCGGAGGTAGTTAGACAAACTTCCTCAACCACGTGAGGGTGAATGAAGCCTCGTATCGTAAAGCGTGGTATATCCTCATAAATGTTTTCAGGCGAATGAGAATGATAGACACAAGTGGTCAACAACTTGCCGAATCCTAACCGATAATAATTCTGAAGTGGGAAAGATTCTGCGATTTTGAAGTTTTATAAGATCGAATTTCAATGGTTTAAAACGCGTTGAACATTTTGAATGTTCCTTCTTTTGGATATGTTGAACATTTGAAAAATTTTGCAGCATTAAAAATGTTGAATATTTTGAATGTCCCCCTTATATCCCAATGCAAATAGACGTTGAAGATTCTCAAAACTTTGAAGTGATGAAGATGCTGAAAATTTTGAACACCCCCCCCGAGGCAACCGGATAAACTTTTACACTAAACATTTTAAAAACTTCAAAAATGGTGAAGATGCCGAAAGTTCTGAACTTTCTCCACCTCCCTCTGTTTTTTTTTTTTAATGAGGGGTTGTTTATAATTTTAGCACCTTCACCGCTTTAAAAAAATTCAGAAATTTAAAGTATAGATGTATATTAACGTTGAAGATTCTAAAAAATTTGAAGTGGTAAAAATGTTGAAAAACATGAACCCCCGCCCCTTCCCTCCGTTTTGTTTTCTCTTAGGGAAGGTGTATTTAGAACGTCAGTATCTGTGTAAATGTTAAGTATTAGTGGATCCGTTAACCTTTTCTCATGATAGGGAGGGTGCGATCAAACTCTTAGAGCAGGGCGAAAAGACAATGCAGGACGTTTGAATGTCTCGTCAGTCGCTCCAGACGAGTCTGAAGAATGCTCAAATCCAGGGGGGAAAAAACAACATCCTCGCATATGGTCATTTGAGCACTACAACGAGTTGTGTGAATGACGCGATGCGTCGGAAGTCTCGGAGGGCAAGGACTATGTGCGACGGTCTATTGTGGGGCAACCGATACCTCGATAAACAGCGGGGTAGAGGGAACTACGTCTGTCGTGTCCCAATGAACCTCTTGGGTGGTAGCCAAAGAGGCAAAAGGGCAAACCGCGAATCAGTGGTCGGGAAGCTGACCACGTATGAGGTCTCAACGGTTCACTGCACCGTGGCAAGCTGGATGGGACTGGCTGGGGGGGGCCTGGGGGGGAACTGAGATCGGCTACGACGATAAATGTCATCATAGTGCCAATTGAGGGCGACATAGTATGGACACCGTGATGAGGTTTGTCATTTCTGGTGGTAACGAGGGCAACCTCGATGGGATCCGTGAGGAGCCTGAAAAATGCTCAAATCCAGAGGGGGGGACACAACATCCTCGTGTATCGTCATTTGAGCACCACAGCGAGTTGTGCGAATGACGCAACACGTTGGAAGTCTTGGAAGGGAAGGACTAGGTACAACGGTCTGTTGTGGGTCAGCCGATACCTCGACAAACAGAAGGTAGAGGGAACTATATCTTTCATGTCCTGAGGAACCACTCAGGTAGTAACCAAAGGGGCAAACTGCGAATCGGTGGTCGGGAAGCCAACTACGTGTGAGGTCTTAGCGGTGCATTGCACCGTGCTTAGCTAGATGAGACTGGTCGGGCGGGGTCGAGGGAGGACTAAGATCGGTGCTGACCATAAATGTCAGCATAGTGTCGATCGAGGGCGTCATGGTATGGACACCGTGAGGAGGTGTGTCCATCCTGGCGGCAAAGAAGATAACCATGACGGGCTCCACGAGGAAGGACGAAACCCTAAGAGAGGTCCACCTTAGGAACAACGAACGTGCGAGTGCTAGCCTGTGCAAACCAGCTGCGAGCACGACCCGTGGCGAACATAACCATTTGCGACTGGTTGGCCATCGGAACAGTTTTATCATCAAAGTGATACGAGATGACATTCTGAAGCTCGAGATCCTTAAAGGTGCCCCCAAGGGTAGGGTCGACCTCTGCCGTAGAGTCACCGCGGTACTCGAGGGAACTATGGCGCCGAGAGAATGACGCTCCAGGCTGAGCTGAGCCGCAAAAGCAGTCACCGAAAGAGGAACACCCTCGAGTAGTGCTGCGTGACTAAGTGATGGTGACGGGTCGCAAAGCGGACGTGGCATTGGAGAAGCGACTCCGCATCCTCTGATACTGTCGAGTAGTCTTATAGGCCTACTTTGTAGACGCGAAGGTTTACCACCAAAGCTCGATGCGGTAGTCAATCGTAAGCCAAAGAAGGACCAGTCGGTGAGACTGACCTTCGACAAGAACGTCTTATCAAAGGGAAGGCAAGCACCCTGAAACACTCGAATATGACGCTCTAAATTTGTCGATGCGGAGAACCCGGGCCATCGGGTCTGGGCGACCCGATCTAAGACGTTTGAGATTTGGATAGCGCTGCAACGATCTCGTCGGGTGTACTCTCATCCGTGTATGGTGGAGGAATGGGGGTAGGCATGGTGGGAGGTGGAGAAAGAGGTAG